CCCTCAACTTTCTCGGGCACTTAGGACCATTTTTCAAACGTAGTTTTTTGTCATTCTGCTCTCATATGAAAGCTCAAAGACCCAGGGAATTGATCCTGGCAAGGATTTACACAATCTCACCATTTCGGGAGCCAAAAAATCTCTTTTTTCAAAAGATACCGTGAGGGCAGTTTTAATGCTAATGAGCTGGCCAGAAACGCTCACTTGAATTAGTGGTCTGCACCCGTATGTGGAACGCGAACGCGCTCAGTATTCTGTGCAATCGACGCAGACGTGAGCATATACCATGCAGATGGCTTTTACCAACTGTTTGTCAAACAGAATTACCAGCACCTATTCGCTCGCGCGATGCATTTAGATCAGTTCCGCTGGATTTCTCTTTCATCTTCTTTCACGGTTCTGCAAACCTGCTTGTCACGTAATAAAATATATGTCTACGTTCATGATGGTGTAGTACATGCACTGCTCTACGGAGATCACAACACCGAATCTATTTAACAGCAGTGGGTTATCGGATTGGGTTACAGAGTACAGAGTACGACTCCATTCCTTGCCAGACGAGTAGCTAACTCTTTCACAGCAAAATGTCAATATCAGGAATGTGGAAAAAATATGTTATCATATCATACGATATGGTTCACGCTTAAAATTGAGCCTTAAGTCGATAATGAATGGAAGTCAGCTTTTTCTCATGAAGTAAAACAACCCTCAAAGTGAACCTTATCTCATCCAACTGAAAACATGGAAAAAAAATCCCAACCCACCACAGAACGCAAAGCTATCAACATACATCATAGGTTCGTTCTATGTGGGACCCAATTCCTTCGGGTACCTGTCGCATCCGATAGACGTTTTTGTAAGTTTCGAGAACTTTTTTTTTTATAGAGTGAAGTATGTAAACACCTTCCAAACAAATCAAATGGTTTGAAGTCATTTTCAATAATGTTTTGGGGTCAAATAAAGGTCAGGTCTAACAGGGACACAAAATGCAACACCTGTGGATCCACAATATACAGAAAGAGCCAGAACTTGTGCAAAGGCATGTTGCGGAACGCCTCGGTTTTTAATAACCACGAATTGTCAGATTGGGTGACGTCGCATCACATTTTCACCCTTTGTGTTGCACTGCTCCGTTGCATTGTGCTTATACAAATTACCATTTTACATCGATGGCTTTTCATTCTTGTACAAAACGAGAATACAAACTGGATAATGAACAAGCAAACAATTACATATATACAACGTGAAGGTGCACTTGCAGTTATATACCATAAACAGTAAAAACAATGTTTAAAATATGGTTGTTTAGAATAACATTGTTCAAACTGTTAAACAATTATGTTTTAAAGCATGCCATGTTGTTAAACAACGATTCTTCAAAACGCACTTGCATTCAGCATAGGAATGATTGTAAACAGCGCTGTTTAATCTGACGTCATATATGACGTGTCAGCCATTTCTAAACAAGATTGTTTAAATAGTACCCGCGCGTAATTTTCCCCCGACGCTATTGTTTTATAGATTTGGGATAATGGCGGATAACGTCGTGCGGAACATTTTGTCTAAATGGGGTTTCGACAGCCTAATTGACACGGTTAGAGGTAAGTTGTTTCCATTTTGGGTGTGATTATGCAGTAACAAAAGAGAAGTTGTTAAATAAAATCCATTCAAGACTTGTCTAAATTGCAAAGACTGGTCAAATACGGCCGAGCTGGAGGTAGGCTAGACCATGGGCCATAGCCTAGGCACAGGCCTAGGGCCGTACATGATTATACATCTGCCTATTTAGCCGCCACTCATTAGCCTAAAACTAAAAGATTTACAGGTTCACACATACAACTTTTCCTCAGACGAGCTGATTTCCTCGTTTTTCACTTCATACTCGTGCCATTGAAAATTGAAACACACTGTAGGCCTACAAAGTCTTGTGAGGATTAGCTTGTTTTTGTTTCTCCCAAGTTGCATATGCCTGCAGGTAGGGCCGAGCCTATCATTCTTCCTTGCTCAGTGGACGGCCTATCTCGGCTCACTGTACTCTCAAGCAGTGATTAGGCCTACAGAGTACATGATTCCCGTGACCATTCTTGAGCTCCGTGAATCTTTTTTGCTGTTGCTAGCCACTAGGGGTGCAGTGTCCCAATTCAAGGAAATTTCACCGCTAGGCCGAGGCGCGCAAAAAGTATCCCTGCAGATCCTTTCGAAAAGAGGGGTCTGTTTGGGCCAGGAAATGGAGGGATCGTGTCAGTATGGCCCAGAATCATCTCTGTAGATTCAGGGGCACCCATCTGGGGGCAATGCAGACAAAAATGTGATTGAAAATTTGTCAGAAGAGCCCCAGGAAGGTAAGGGATGCCATTTGGAAAATGGTCGCTGAGAAGATTTGGGCACATTCACTTTTTTGGGGGGGGTGAGTTTGTTTTGGGCGGATAATAAAAAAATAAATCCAGTGGTTAGCCTACTAAAAATTGAAAATCCAATGAAATCGGAAGGACCAAACAAAACATTGTTTTTGGTTTGAGGGGCCTCAGGGACTTGAGTTGCCTGACATGGGGCTCCAAACTTGGTTGATTTCACACTATTTTCAATGGAGCTTGAATTGGTTCAGTGCACCCTATATGGCCAAGATGGCGGCGTCCCGGATGTCATGGCAGCTGGATTGAAAAATCGTTCGTCATGTTTACTTTGGTTACACCAGGGGTGGAGAGACCGGAACAAGCCAGTAATAGCAGTTGTATGAATTATGAGACATCAGATCATTTGATTGTTGGCAGCAACGCTCCACTGGTAAATACCCATGCAATAATGTGAAAATTGTGAAAAACAATTAACTGTGTCACTGTACTATTTGTATATAATTTTCATGTAATGTGACGTCTAATTTGTTCATGTTTATTTACAAGCATGCTCAACAATTTTATTGGTCAATGATGATGTTGGGCAAATCATATTTACCACTTGTTGGTCTAAAATATTGAAGTTTGGGCAATTTATTTATTACCCAACACAGATGGGTACATGTTAATTTCCTCCTGCCAATCATTGGTCAAAGAATAGTCTTCGGTGCTATTACGCAAATGGTGGTCATTGTAAATGTTTAATTGTGTTGGACATTGGAATAAACTTCCTCTCAGGTCTCTTTTTCACAAGGAACTTTAAACACATGTTTCTACTCACAAATCGTCGTAAATGTTAATCCAGGGTACTGTTAAGATTGCTTGTATTGTATTGTAGGGGTGATCACGGATTTCATTGCTTTTGCATAAATTGGTAACAGTCGGCGCTTACATCACTACCCGCGTGATTTGCCAGCGCTGTGTAGCAAAGTTCCCGCTGGCATAGCGCGCCCGCGTTCTACGCATTGTGGAACTGTTTTTTTCGACGGTACGATGGCGGTCACGGCGTCGACAGAAATCTCAAAACCTCTTCGAATATGAGATCTGGAAAGCATTGTCAGGTAATGTGTTTACAGCGAATGGTGTTTCTAGTAGCCAC